TATTTATAAATAAACCTGCATGCTTGCTCTTGTGAGGTTGTTACGTTGTGCTTTTATAACTCTCCATGTGAAGTGACCTTGTGGTTGCTTGCTTGTGCTCAAATTGCGTGGTGATCTTGAGAATCCACCCTGAGCTTTGCTTTGCTTTATTCTCTTGCTTGACTGTTCTTGTGACCGTTGGTTGTTCTTGCTATCCCCCACTTTGCCTATGGGGGTGTGTCAAACTGTGTTTGTATGTATGCGGGCTGTAGTGGGAGAGCTTCTACTGAGTACAACACTTTAGGGTTAGACCTAGTACTTGTACTCATTCCTTATGCTTGTTAAGACCTTGTACCACCAGGTGCTTCCGGTGGACCAACCACTGCCTCTGGTCGACCACCGGGTCCCACCGGTCGACCAACCAAGTACCTCTGGTCGACCACAGCTCCCGTCGGCTACCCCCTGGTCGACGGACCCCTTCCGTCGACCAAAACAGTCAGCGGTTGTCGGCGAGCTCCCCTTGTTGACCGCTGCTCACTTGTCAGGTCGACGGACTGCTCCATCGACTCTCCCGGTCGAACTGCAGGTCGACGAGCTGGCTCCGGGGAACCCTCCCAGTCGGACTGCAGGTCAATGGAGACCCTCCGGGCCCGAGCTGCCCCCTCCTGCTCAACGGCCCACCCGTCGCCCAGAACCAGTCAGTTTGCAGCTGTCGAGCTCCCTGGTCGACAGGCAATACCACAGCAGTCCCCTGCAGCTTGAACGAAGCCTATCGAGCAGCTCTCCCACTGTGAACGGTCGGCCGCTATTCCCGTACATCCGACCAAGTCGTCGGCGTTGCCCAAGCGAGGGCGGGGCCAACCACTCCATTTCCCGTTAACACTCCCCTACCGCGCTCACGCTTCGGCCTCCAGCCCACACGGCAGTACTCCACGGAGAAAACTCGTCCTCAGCGTGCACCCCACACACAGCACGCCATCACCGCACTAGTCGTGCAGAAGGGCACGGCACCTACTGCTGCAACCTCTTCGTCGCTGTCGCCGACGTTGGCCAGGACGAACTTGGCTGATGGCGACAGAGCACCGGTTGAAGAGCCGGAAAATGCAGCGCCTTCGTCAGGAAGTCCGCCGGTTGCTCGGTGTTCGGGATGTACTTCAGCACGAACTTCCCGCGCCTCACCATGTGCTGGCAGCCAGGCGTAGCGTCGCTCCATGTGCTTGAGGTTGCCCGTCAGCCCCAAGCCCTCAGCGACCGTGATTGCTGACTTCTTGTCGATGCGGAGGGATGGTCGGCTTCCCAGCGTCCGAAGCAGCTTGAATTCCGCAAGAAGGAAACGAAGTCGGCGTCCCTCCTTGCCTGCATCCGTGGCCGCCACTTTACTCCGACTCGATCGACGACAATGTCGTGCACTGATGCGCGAGCTCGACCAGGAGACGGCGGCCCCTCCGTAGACAAACACATAGCCTCCCGTGCTCGTCCAGGTTTGCTTGTCGCCCGCGTCGTCGGCATCCATATAGCCGATCAGCTCCAGCGACTCTGGTCCACCGCCGAACTCCAGGGCGGTGTCGCGGGTGTCAGCGAGGTAGGCGAGGCAGCGGTCGACCTCAGCGCCAATGCTGGTCGCTCCACACCGTGAGGTCGCTCCCCAGCTTGCTGCAGGCAAACACGATGGCCGGCCTCGTCGTCGTCGCCGCGAACTGCAGCGAGACGACCTTCTGGTCGGTACTTCCTCCTCCTCGCGCTCCTGCGCCTCCCTCGTCGTCGAATGTCAGCTCAGCGTAAGCGTCGACCGAGAACCGGCGTTTTCGAGACTCGACCGCCCTGCTCCTCGTCGATGAAGCGCCTGCGCAGCTTGTCAGCGTAGCCCTGCTGGTGTTGCCACAACTTCCATGCCAGCCTGTCGCGCACGGACCTCCAGCCCAAGGTACTTCACCACCGGCGAGATCTCACGCAGCTCGAAGGCAGCCTCCAGCAGCTCCTTCAGCTCCTTCAGCATCGCGGTGCTGCTGCTGGCGGCGAGCAGGTCGTCGACGTAGACCAGCACCCAGCAGGTCACTCCGACGTCGCCGGCCTTGAAGTAGAGCGCCTCGTCGACCTGGCTCTTCTTCCAGCCAGCGCCTAGCAGAACAGCGTCGAGAGCCCTGTACCATAGTAGCGGCGACTGCTTCAGCCCGTAGAGGCTCTTCAGCAGCTTGCACATCCCGGCCGGGTCCCGTCGTCGAAGTAGTCCGGCTGGTACATGTAGAGCACCTTGTCGAGCTTGCTCTTGCAGGAAGGCGTTCTTCATGTCCGAGCTGCATCAGGTTGAAGTCGAGGACGGCGACGATGCTAAGGAAGATCCCCAGCGTGACGTAGCTGCTCACCGGCGAGTACGTCTCGTCGTGAAGCCCTTTACGACCAGCCTCACCTTCGCTCCGCGCTCGACGGGTGTCGTCGATGCGGTACTTGGTCGTCAACACCCACCGGTTCTTCATGATGTTCACTCTGTGTGGGCGTTTCGACCAGCTCCCAAGTGCCCATGCCGATGAGGCTACGGATCTCTTCGTCCATGGCGGATTTCACCGCCTCGCCCTTCCAGCTCCCCAGCGCCTCCTTCAACCGTCATCGTGGCGATGTCCCAGCGGTGTTCGGGGTCAGCATGTACGTCGAGGTCGAGCTCCGGCAGGTCCGACATCATCCTCGGCATCGTCGTACACCAGGTTTGTCGTCGACCTCGTCGTACACCGTGGTGAAGGCAGCAGGGGGAAGGCGGGCGTGGAAGCTGAGCTGCTTCCGGCGGGCCGTTGAGCTTCGACCTGTGGCGTCGCAGCTCAGATCTTCGTGACGCTCGACCAGCTGCTTCGGACCCCTTTCGAACACGGCTGCATCGCCTACCTGCTGAACTTTGACAGCGTCCCCTGTCGACCGCCCCGGCTGGCTGCTCTCCTCTGTCGACTGCACCCCCGGTGCAGTTGCCCTCATGTTTGAGTGGCTTCCCCCCGTCTGGTGCTTCCCCTTGCCCGTCGACAGCTTCAGAACCTGAGGTCAGACGAGCTTTGGTGCCTTGTCGACCGCCGGCAAGATGCCACTAACTAGCCGGCGCCACAGGGTGACCGCCGCATAAGGCTCCCCTCATCGCCGGTGGCCGACACCAGGTGGTCGACGCAGGACGATCTGCGACGGGGGGAGGGGAGGAGCATAGAATAGGTGGAAGGTGGAAGAACCTCCACAACATCCCTCATCAGCCAGGGTCGTCGACTTCGGCGAGCGTGGAAACCGTCGCCGTCGAGGTGTCCCCTGTCCGGCGGGTGTGCCTGCGTCCGCCCCGGGACGCCGGCCCATATTTCGCCTTCCCACACCTCCAGCGACAGCGTCTCTCGTAGAAGATCACTTCGACCGACCATGAAACACCTGTGTTGTCAATCAGGTCAAGCACCCTCCCAGCCCTTGCTCTCCGGCGACACATGTCAAACTTATATGATCTACCCTGTGTAGGCTGTAGCGGGTTAGACACCAAGGGGTACACAATTCTAGGGTTTCATATTGTATCACTTTCATTCCTTAGTCATGCCATTCTCGTTCCAATTTCCACAACAACCCCAGGTGAAGCCCCAGCGATGCTTTCGGCGCTAGCTTCCCACCGCGCTGCTGCTCGGGAATCAATGAACTGCACCATGCAGCCCCACACCCCGCGCCAGCATGAGGTCGGGCTTCTTCCCGGTCAGCAGCTGGTACGGAGTCGTCCCCGGAGGCGTCGTCAGCACCAGAGTTTTGCGTTTCACACTCAACGGCGCTACAACAACAACAACAATCGACAGAACAAACACCAAGCCCAACAGTACGTCCCACCGTTTGGCCATCTGTGCAAGACGTCAGGACACCCCTCTCATACACTGCCCGACATCAGCAGCGGTCAACGACGTCACAACGTCAATTTTCGGCCCTCAAGCAGTCAAGTGGCCTTCTACACAGGCGCATTCCCACCCAATCAAGTACAGTCCTCAACGGACATCGACAACAAAACATGCACAAGGTACAAGAAACATCGTGAGCTGCATGACAAGAACGACAGACTCCTACATCACCGGATCACCACCGTACTACTCCACAGAAAAAACAGCTCGACGAGAGCACACCTCGCCACGAATCACTGGAGCCCAACCCGACGTATGCAGCCATCGCACAGAGCGAGCCGTCCGGGAAAGACACCTGGTTCTTGGACAGCTGTTGCGGACAGCACATGTGTTCCTCGGGTCGCTTCGTTCAACAGGAACAACCAACTTCAACGCGAAGGTCGTAATCACTGTCGCCAACAACCAGAACCTGCACACACGACGACAGGGATAGTTCAACTTCCAATCTCGGGAAACCATCTTGATTCTGCAAATGTCGAAGGTTTCAATCGCAGAAGGACTCAGTTATAACTTACTCAGCGTCAGTCAACTAATGGCGAAGGCAATTCATCTCGAAGCAGACACCACCACTCAAGAGTTTCAAGCTGTACCACGCGAAAGGTGGACTCTACATCGGCAAGGCAGTCTTGAAGAATTTGTCAGAACATATAGCTTATACATTTGTGTAGGCTAAAGTGGGGTAGCCCATAAGGGGTAAAACCCAACTAGGGTTAGTACTTGTACCCAACTGTTTCTATAGTTCATTCCATTCTCGTTTGTTATTCATCACATGAAATCAGAGCAGGTTACTTGGGCCCACCACCTGCTACACTGCGACTACCTCCCCTAGGCCCATCGCCCCTAGCCCCGCGCCCTGGGCCTTGTTCCTGTTGGGAGTAGGCTAGAGCTCGCTCTGGCCTTTATTTTGGTGTTCTCTTATCATTCCACATGCTTAGAGCGAGTTATGCTTCCAGGTTCAATTTATGTTCATTTCGTAGCTATAGTACAAACTGAACACACCCTAAGTTCAATTAGGTTTCCAATTCCTTTCTAGACTCGTATCTCGACACTTCTTTCCTATACAATTTTTTTCTCTCGCTACCTTCTCTCTTCCTAGCCATGGCTACCACAACTCTCAGTTTTAAAACAATGGTTCCTAGAGCCAAATCCTTGGCGTTTGGTACCCAATCTATATTCTCTTAGTACGTTTAGAGGCCTTAGGCATCCGGCGTGCCACTTTTTACCTAGTCGAAAATTATCTTCCCTAGTATTTCGACCCTTAAAGTTCTTCTTTTTTTTTCAATCACGGAACCTTCCATCCATCACCCGAGGTCTCCCTGCCTAGTCACGCGCCCCGTCCCCTGGTCGCGCGCCCTGTCTCGTCGTCGCGCCGCCCTCCCCCCCCCCCACCTCGTCGCGCGCCCTACTCACCGCCGCGTCGCGCGCCCTGCCCGTCGTCGACGTGCGCGGCCGTCCCGCCGTCGACGCGCGGCCTCCCCGCCGTCGATGCGCGCGCGCGCGTCTTGCCCACCGCCCTCCATCTCCTTGGCCACCCTTCCCTCCTCCCAGCCACCCTTCCTTACCCTCTCGTGGGCGGCCTGCCACACCTCCCTGCAGGCGCCTTCCCCTCCCCCCCCATGGTGCGCCTTCTTCTGCCGTTTCTGCACCACCTCCTCCTTCTCCCCTCACCCCATCCGCCTCTTCACCTCCTCCTCCTCTCCTCATTCCTTCCTCCCTTCCGTGCCTTTCCTCCCTTCCTCCACCTCCTTCCCCTCCGCATCTGCCACCTGGCTGCGTGTTACTGATTGCCACTTGGTGATCGTGACCCTACTTCCTCCCCACACTCCGCTCCTTCACCCTCCTCCTCCTCTTCTCTCTCCCTCTATTTCCCCCACCCTCTCACCTCTTCCTCCGCCTCTCTTCTCTCCCTATCTGCTGCAGCTGGTAGCTGTCCATATTTCGTCGCCTTCCACACCTTTCCTCCTCCTCGTATTTCTCCCCTCAGCGGCGCAGCAGCAGACTACTTCGCCGCTATCCCTCCTCCTTGTATTTCTCCCCTCAGCGGCGCAGCAGCAGACTACTTCGCCGCTATCCCTCCTCCTCGTATTTCTCCCCTCAGCGGCGCAGCAGCAGCAGACTACTTCGTCGCTATCCCTCCTCCTCGTATTTCTCCCCTCAGCGGCGCAGCAGCAGACTCCTTCGCCCCTATCCTTCCTCCTCGTATTTCTCCCCTCGGCGGCGCAGCAGCAGACTACCCGCCGTTTTCCCTCCTCCTCTTATGTCTCCCCTCAGCGGCGCAGCAGCAGACTACTTCGTCGCTATCCCTCCTCCTCGTATTTCTCCCCTCAGCGGCGCAGCAGCAGACTCCTTCGCCCCTATCCCTCCTCCTCGTATTTCTCCCCTCAGCGGCGCAGCAGCAGACTACCCCGCCGTTTTCCCTCCTCCTCTTATGTCTCCCCTCAGCGGCGCAGCAGCAGACTACTTCGTCGTTATTCCCCCTCCTCTTATTCCTCCCCTCAACGGCTCACCAGCTGACTACATCGCCCCTATTCCTCCTCTTCTTTTCTCTCTCCAACACTGCTTTACTGCTATCCCCTCCCCCATATGGGGCCTCTTCTCACTCTTACCTCTCTTCCTCTGCGCTTCCATCCTCACCCTTCCCCCGCCGTACCTCCTCTCCTACCATTGCCTTCCCTACTCTCCGCCCCCTTCGCTGCCCCTTCCTCCCCTTCCGCCCTTCCTACTTGCCGTTGTACCTCCCCTCTTCTCCACCCCTCTTCTTGGATTCCGCTATCCCATCAGCGTCGCCGCTCTTCTGCCGCTGTAACCTCTGGTTTTGGCTCTCTGGCCTCTGTTTTCAGTGTGACCATGCCATCTCAGGATAGCATCCTTGGTGCTTCTCCTCTTATGGACCCTCGCTTTCTCGTTCCATCCGTTCAAAGCACTGCTTCTCACTCTCCCAGCCCTACGGCTGCCGCTCTCTCACTTCCTCGCACCTTGGATTTTGTCCTTGACAGTGCTGCTACTGACTCTGTCTTTCGTGATGCTGGTGTTCTTCGCAATTTTCCTCGTCCCCTCTCTATTGATGGGGCTGGGGAGACCATGACCATGATCTGCACAGGCACTTCCTCTCTTCCCTGTCCTGCCTCTCCCTCTGGCGCTGTTACTGGCCTTTATGTTCCCTCTTGCCGTCACAACCTCCTATCCCTTCCTGCCCTTCAACGCCTCGGTGTACGAGTGCTCTTCCCCGCAGGTGCACTCTATTGTGATCTTCATTACCACGACCGGCACCTCGCTCGTTTCACCCTTTCTCCTACTACTCGCCTCTACACCCTTCGTGTTCCCCTCCCCTCATCTGTCCACCACACTTCCTCTTCTTCTGTCCCTCCCGTCTCCTCTTGCGACTGTCGCTCTCTCACCCAACCTACCCTTCTTCTCCATCATCGCCTTGGCCACCCCAACTTCCCTCTCCTTCGCAGCATGGTCAACTCGAAGCTGCTTCATGATCTCCCTTCCTCTCTCCCGCCCCTTCCCCCCTCTCCCGCTCCTCCATGCACCCCTTGTGTTCAAGCTAAGCTCTCCCAATCTCCCCATCCTTCTTCCCCTTCTGCCTCCCCCAAACCCCTTGATCTTGTGCATATGGACCTCTGGGGTCCCTCTCCCATTGCCTCCCGTCAGGGTCATCGCTATTTTCTTCTTCTCGTCGATGACCATTCTCGCTTTGCCACTGACTATCCCCTCCGTGCCAAATCTGACGCCCCCTCCCTCATCATTCGCTGGGCTGAGCAGGCGCGTCTTCGCTTTGGCCGCCCTGTCGCGCGCCTCCACTCTGATGGTGGTGGCGAGTTCTTTAACCACTCTCTTTCTTCTTACTGCTCCTCTCATGGCATTCGCCAAACCTCCACCCTTCCGCATTCTCCTGAACAAAATGGTGTTGCCGAGCGTCGTATTCGCACTCTCACGGAGATCACCCGCTGTCTCCTTACGCATGCTTCTGCTCCCCACTCTCTTTGGAGCTACGCTCTTGTTCACGCCACTCTTCTTTCTAACCTTCGCCCTCATCCCCTTCGCTCTTCCATTACACCCTTTCAGCTCTGGACTGGCCGCCAGCCTTCTGCCCGCCCTCTTCGGGTGTGGGGCTGTGTCGCTCATGTCCTCATCAATCCCGCTGATCGGGCGCGTCAGGGTGGGAAGCTCGCTCCCAAGACGCAGCTTTGTGCGTTTATTGGTATCAACTCTGACTGTCCTGGCTACCTTTTCTATGCTCCCTCCTCTTAGCAGCTCATTCGCAGCCAGGATGTCATCTTTGATGAGACTCAATCTCCATTCCTCACTCCCCCTCCCACCCCACCTGCTCCCTCTCTCCATTGGTCTGACTTTGATCCGCTGCCCTCTGCTGCTCCCTCTCCTCCTCCCCTTCCTCTTGCCCCTGCTCCACCTCCCCTGCCTGCCTCCTCCACCCCCCCCCTCCGCTGTCATCTCTGGCATCTCTCCTCCTGCCTCTTCATCTTCTGCTCCCATGGCCCCTCCCTCATCACCTCCTTCTGCTACCCTCCCTTCTGCACCCCCCCCCCCCACCCTCTCCCCGTCTCACCCGCTCCATGACCCGTGCAATGTCCAATTTTCAACACTCTGCTCTCTTTACTCGTCTCTCTCCCTCTCAGAACGTTGATCTTCTCGAAGATCGCTTTGAGGAGCTTTTCTCTGTTCATCCTGTTTCACCCCTCCTCTGTGTCACCATTGGCGACTTCTCCAATTCTCCGACTCTTCTCTCCGTTGACACTGCCGCTATTCCCACCCCTCAGACCTATTCCGAGGCAGTGTCTGGCTTTCATGCAACTGAGTGGATGGCTGCCAATATTGCCGAGTGTGAGGCATTCACTAGGACTCACTCTTACGTTGACTCTGTCCCCCCCCCTGGCGCCACCATTGTGAAGGGCAAATGGGTCTTTCGTGTCAAACAGCTGCCTGGGGAGCTCCCTGTCTTCAAAGCCCGTTACTGCGCCAAAGGCTTCACCCAACGTGAAGGCATTGACTACTTTGCCACTTACTCCCCCACTGCCCGTCTCCCCACTCTTCGCCTCCTTCTTGATCTAGGCGCCCGCTGGAATTGGGAGATTCACTCTATGGATGTCTCCAATGCCTTTCTCCAAGGCGAACTTCATGAACGCATTTTCCTTGAGCGCCCCGCTGGCTTTCCTCGCCCCTTCCCTCCAGGCACTGTCTGGGAGCTGAAGCGCCCAGTGTATGGTCTTAAGCAGGCCCCACGCGAGTGGCATGCTAAGCTTGCCTCCACTCTTCACTCTCTTGGCTTCTCCACCTCCTCTTCCGACCCCAGTCTCTTCATTCGCACTTCCCCCCACAGGGTTTACATTCTTGCCTACGTCGATGACTTGGTGCTCCTCGCTGAAGATTCTGCCGACCTTGCCGCTGTCAAGCTAGCCCTCCAGGCACGTCTCCTGTGCAAGGATCTTGGCGAGCTTCGCCACTACCTTGGCATGGAGATTCGTCGCGATCGTACTGCGCGCACCATCTCTCTCTCTCAATCTTTCTACATCCACTCCATCCTTGAACGCTTTGAAATGTCACGGGCTAAGCCAGTTTCCACTCCTCTTCCCGCTAACCATCAGCTTACTGCCCCTGCCGTTCCCGCTCCCTCCTCAGAACTGCGACCCTATCCTGAGCTCGTTGGGTCACTCATGTATGCTATGATGTGCACGCGCCCCGATCTTGCTTACCCCCTCAGTGTCCTCTCTCGCTTTGTTGGCCTTGGTCGCCACACACAGACGTGCACTGGGCGGCTGCCAAGCGCGTTCTCCGCTATCTCCGCACTACCTCTGATCTTGCTCTCACTCTTGGTGGCTCTTCTCCCCCTGTTCTTTGCGGTTCCAGTGATTCCTCCTATGCTGATTCTCGCCCTGATCGCCGCTCCTCTCAGGGTTATGGTTTTACTCTTGGCAGTGGTCTCATCAGCTGGCGCTCCACTCGCTCATCCTCTGTCTGCCTTTCTACCTGCGAAGCTGAGTTGTCCGCAGGCACATTGGCAGCTCAGGAGGCTCGCTGGCTCTCCTTTCTCCTTGCTGAGCTCGGTCACTCTCAGCCCTCTGTGACGCTCTCCTGTGACAGTGCGAGCATGATTCATCTCACTGAAAATCCTGTCTATCACGCCCGCAGCAAACACATAGAGGTCCGCTACTTCTTCGTGCGCGAGCTGGTGCAGTCTGGCTTCTTACGCCCTTCGCAAGGTGGCCGCTACTGCCAACCTTGCTGACATTTTCACCAAGGCCCTTCTGCGTGCGCCACACCGTTTCTACGTGCGCGAGCTTGGGCTCACGCGTCTTGCCACTTCTGGGGGTGTTCCCGTTCGCTAGGTGTTTTATTCCAGAGCTTCACCTAGCCTGGGGGGGTTGGAGTAGGCTAGAGCTCGCTCTGGCCTTTATTTTGGTGTTCTCTTATCATTCCACCATGCTTAGA